ATGAGTTCAGTGCCAGGTAACGTAAATAGGTCCGAAGAGCAGCGGAAACGTCCCACTTTACAGAATATTGCAACCAAAGAGAAACCAAAAGAAATACACACTCGGAAATCCGATGTACTAGAAATAGCTGTAACAGCGATGTCTAAGGCCAATAGATTATATCAGGACGCTAAGTTGCAGCTAGAGCAGTCTGGAAACTTAAAGACTTCCATAAAAGAGACGGTGGTAAATAACCTTTCTGAACTCTTTGGAATCGTATTACAGTTAAACGAAGAAAGGCAGACTCTACTCCTACAATTGGAGAAAGCTCGTATACAACTTAAAGACGATCTACTTAGGCAAGAAAAACAGTATGTAGAGAGCCCTAGAGCACTAATGGATCAGGGTAGTATAAGAGATATTCAGTCTGCTCTCACCGAAACAGTGAGTGATATGAGAACCCTAACGGACTCATTGAAGCACACGATGGGCAATGACACCTTATTGGATAAACATACTTTTATGGGCAAATCGGAGGATACTAGAAGGGAACTGATGGAAATAAAAGAAGAATTATCATCCCTAAAAGACCAAATGGGTGGACTTCGAGAGTCTTTGGTTATAAGCGAAACAAATGAACCCACATATGCCAGCATAGCTGGTCGACCTAAGGCCAAAATAAACAGTAAAATGATGGCTCCAATGCACTCAGTTCTGGTATCGTCTGAAGAAGAACAAGACACTAGCGGAGATATAATAAATAAAATTAGAACAGCAATTGACGCTAAAATCACTGGGTTGAGAGTGGATAAACTACGGAAGGCCAGGGATCAAAAGGTAATAGTGGGATGCCAGACACATGACGAAGTTCAAAAAATTGCGGAAAGAATCAAAAGAGCATCCTCAAAATTGCTAGTACAAGAAGTCGAGAATAAAGACCCTCTGATAATTATGAGAGATGTTCTATCTTTAAATAAAGACGAAGATATTCTAGCAGCTCTGAAAAACCAGAATAAGCAACTCCTATCCGATATACCAGATGATCAATACAGAGCAGCAATTAAATATCGGAAAAAAGCTAGGAATCCGCATATTAATCATGTTGTAATTCAAGTATCCCCAAAAGTGTGGCAGAGACTGACAACAGTGGAAAAAGTCCACATTGACTTGCAACGTGTAATAGTAAGAGACCAATCACCGTTGGTACAGTGTACGCGGTGTCTGGGGTACGGTCACGGAAAGAAATTCTGTAAAGAGACACAGGATTTATGCAGCCATTGTGCCGGACCCCATGTTAAGGACGACTGTCCATTATGGGCAGTAAAAGAACCACCGACATGTCGCAATTGTTTGCACGCAAAAAGCGAAAGGGCAGACCACAATGCATTTGACGACAGTTGCCCTATCCGAAGGAAATGGGACGCGATCGCGAGATCGAGTGTAGCGTATTGCTGAAATCGATACAACGAATTATGGGACCACCAGTGATGAAGAATCATTAAGAAATCCACAGGACTACCGTATTATACAAGCAAATCTCCAGAGGAAGAAATTAGCAACTAAAGAGTTAATGATAGAAGCAGAACAAAGAAAAATTAATATCGCTTTGGTACAGGAACCATATATTGGAGCATTAGGGGAACTTAAACAAGAAAAAGGGACAAAAGTAATTCAGTGTACAAGAAACAGAACTAAACCTGTAAAGGCAGCAGTAATAGTTTTTGATCAAAATATTAATGTCATAGAGGATCCAACACTCGTAACGGAGAATATAGCAGTGGCTCAATTAAAAACGAATAAGTGGGAATTAGGAGTCATATCGGTCTATTTTGAGGACAGTTTACCTATCGAACCCTATCTCGCACAACTGAAAACTATCATTGGAAAACTAAAAACAAAACACGTACTAATAGGAGGTGATTTCAATGCATGGAGTACGTGGTGGGGAAGTGCTAGGGAAGATCATAGGGGAGAGGAATTGGCAGGAATGATAGAGGATACAGGTATGCACATATTAAATGAAGGAAATGAACCCACATTTGATACTATTAGGGGTGGGAATATCTATCAGAGTATAGTAGACGTAACAATCAGTAGCGAAAATTTATTAAGTAAAGTGAAGGATTGGAGAGTAAATAAAGCTATTATAAGTTCTGACCACAACTGTATAACATTTAAACTAGCATTGTTAAAACCTACGGAAAATAATAATTTTAAAAGTACTAGAATATATAATACTAAAAAGGGCGAAATGGACAGATTTTAAAAATAAACTATGTGAAACACTTAAAATGAAAAATATTAGTGAAGAAGAGATAACAGAACTAAAATCAAAGGAAAAACTAAAAACTACAATTGATACATATATAGAATGTGTTAAGGAAGCAAGTGATTCGAATATCCCAAAAATTAAAACTAGAAATAAAATTACTATACCGTGGTGGACAGAAGAGCTTAATAAGTTAAAAAAAGAAATGACAGTGAAGAAAAAGAAGAATATCGTATGCTGCCTCTCGCCGTCGGCGCTACGTAGTAGAACAATATTTGGAGATAAAAAATAAATATGAAGAAGAAGTAGCACAAGCACAAATCAACAGTTGGAAAAAGTTTTGCGGTAAGCAGGATAGGGAAAGTCTATGGGACGGGATCTATAGAGTAATCAGGAAAACATCAAAAAGACACGAGGACATACTGTTAATTAGGGAAGGTAAATCGTTGGATGCAGAGGAATCAGTGAAACATATGGCGGAGACATTTTTCCTCGATGACAATTTGGAAAACGAAATACCAGAACAATATCATACACGAATGAAAGCTAACAGAATGTGCACTCAAACTACAGATGATATTTGGGATGTTCCATTTACAGCAACCGAATTACAATTTGCTACCAGCAGCTTCCATCCAAGGAAGGCGCCAGGTTCAGATGGCCTCACAGCGGACATCTGTGCCGCGGCGATAAACGTTGATAAGCAGATATTCTTAGCCTTGTTGAACAAGTGTTTAGAATTATCATACTTTCCGGATCCATGGAAGGAAGCTACTGTGTTAGCACTTAGAAAACCGGGAAAAACGGATTACCTCTCGCGAAATCATATAGGCCGATAGGGCTCCTCTCTGTCATGGGTAAGATCCTAGAAAAGATGATGGTGAGAAGACTAAAATATTACATTTTGCCAAAATTAAATCCCCGTCAGTATGGGTTCGTCCCACAGCGCTGTACGGAGGACTCCCTCTATGACTTGATATTACACATCAAGAACAATCTGAGAAATAAGGAAATAAGTATTGTAATATCCTTAGACATAGAGGGGGCCTTCGACAGCGCGTGGTGGCCTGCTATTAAAAATAGACTGATGGAGATAAAGTGTCCTGTGAATCTACGTAGATTAGTAAATAGTTATTTTACAGATAGGAAAGTTACAGTTAGATATGCGAACGAAGAATTTACAAAAAATAATACAAAAGGGTGCATTCAAGGCTCGATTGGTGGTCCCATATTTTGGAATTTGCTATTGGATCCGTTGCTAAATGAACTAGAAGAGCGTGGAGTGTATTGCCAAGCCTTCGCCGACGATATCGTTCTGATCTTCTCAGGTCACGTGACAAGCGATATTAAAATAAATGTAGATGAAACTCTTTCACACATATATGAATGGGGATCAAAAAATAAATTAAAATTTGCCCCACAAAAAAACTTATGGTATGATAGTAACAAATAAATTGAAGTATGAAACCCCGCAATTGTTCATGGGAGGTAAAGAAATAAAACTAGTAGATGAGATAAAAATATTAGGCCTAATCATCGATAAAAAATTGAAATTTAATAGTCATGTTTCCTATATTTGTCAAAAATCCATAAATATTTATAAATTACTGGCTCGTGCAGCAAAAATTTCATGGGGGCTTAAACCCGAGGTGATCAGAACGATTTACGTATCAGTTATTGAACCAGTTATAATGTATGCCGCAAGCGTTTGGGCACCAGCTGCCCACAAAATAGCAATCAAAAACCAGCTAAACGCAGTGCAGAGGGGATTTGCACAAAAAATTTGTAAATCATATCGCACGGTCTCACTAAACGCAGCATTGATACTCTCAGGACTACTACCTTTAGATTTAAGGTTACGCGAAGCTGCATATTTGTATGAAGCAAAACGCGGTAAACCAGATGCTAACCTACTTAAAGACAGAGAGATCGAAGGAAAAGTAAGCTTTTTAGAAATGATGCATCCAGCCTGCGAAGAAGAAATTGACTTTGAAATAATAGAGAATACGACATCAGAAAAATTAGAGGAACCACATACAAACAGCATACGAATATTCACCGATGGAAGTAAAATTGAGGGCAAGGTTGGAGCTGCAATCTCTATTTGGAGAAATAAACAAGAAATAGATAATAAAAAATTCAAATTAGATTCATTCTGCACTGTCTTTCAGGCTGAACTGTACGCAATGCATCAAGCTATTCAAAAAGCAAAGAATTACCAAAGTACTTACATATACAGTGATTCAAGATCTGCACTGGAACTTGTCAAAAATCAATCAGCATATCAACCGTTGGCTTTCGAAATTAGGCGAGATATCGCTAAATTAAGAAGTCAAAACAGGAGGATAGGGCTGTATTGGGTTAAAGCACATGTAGGTATTCCCGGAAATGAACGCGCAGATGAACTCGCAAAGGAAGCAGCTTTAAAATTAAAAACAAAATTAAATTACGCAAAATGTCCGATTTCGTTCATAAAGAACCAAATTAGACATAAAACAATTAAGGAATGGCATAAGAGATATTTAACAGAAGAAAAAGCCGAAATTACAAAAGTATTTTTTCCAGACGTAGAAGCAGCATATCGCATCCTAAAACAAATTAATTTAACGCCAATATTAGTACAAGTTTTCACCGGTCATGGAGGCTTTGCAGATTATTTGTTCCGTTTTAAAATAAAATCTAGACCAGACTGTACGTGTGATAACAACCAACCCCAATCTTCTCTGCACATAATTATAGACTGCCCTCAATTTTGCAAAAATAGAGCAGACGTGGAACTGCAGATAGGATTAAAATTGACAAAAGAAAATATACATAACATAATGGAAGACAAACGCGGCAGAAACATTTTCACAAAATATTGTATAACCGTAGCAAATAAAATCATAAAAACTAATAAAAGTACCTAAACAAGAACAAGATAAAATTAATTTAGAATATAGAATAAGATACATCAAACAAAAAGTACAATAAAAAAAAACCTTGGTAAAAAAAGGACAAAAAAAAAAAAACAAGAGAGTAAGAAAACTATATAATTAGACATATGAGTACATATGTCCTAATATTATATAAAATAAGTATGCAACATAATAAGAAAAAAAAACAAGAGAATTTAATTAGAAATAGTGTAGAATAGTAAAAAAAAAAAGAATTAATAAAATAAGAATTAACCACATTTGTAATCGATAAAAAAGGAAAAGTAACAACAAAAACATACTTAAACAAAAAATCAAAGTACCGAAAAGCACCTGATATTGAAAAAACAAAAAACGTAGTTCATAGAACACAGAAAAAAAAGAAAAAAACAAAAGAAGAGAAAGAAAAAAAGCTATATAAAAATAATGAAAAATTAAAATAAACATAAATATATAAAAAAGCAATCAGCTACATAAGGTCTCCGATCAACATGTCGGAGG